GCACACGCACACAACTTAAAATGTCCACGCGCGCCGCGCTCACATTTTGCTGGGCCCGCGTGCCTTAGCACCGCTGCTATGACTCCATCCTAGGGGAAACACTGCAACATGTAAACAATATCATCCTCACAGATACCATTTAGGTTTAATAATGTTGCGACTGCATTACTGGTTAGTGTAAATACAGTGTTATTGCACTTAACGCATGTGTTTATTGGCATTCATAGGATTATTTTAATGTTTGTGGAGTGAAAAAAACAATTAATAATGGCTACATGTTTTATATTGACAATTAGATCGGCAAGAATTAGCCAATAAAAAGTTATCATTTAATATTTTGATAAGTGTAATATGTCCTTCAAAATGGCAGAACATTTGTTTTAGCCTCTTAAATATAGAGATTGTCTGCTTTATATCATATTAAAGTGTGAAAACAATATATCCCCTTTGAAGAACTAGGAGGTCCGTTTTTCATTTTCTGACAAAACGATAATTCAGGTAGGTAGGTGTGATTCAAAATGGTTCAGAAGCAGACCTATAGAGAACAGACACACTTTAAAACACACATAAGAAGTGTTAATATTTGACCTGCTCCGGTATTAGCTGAGAATAGAAATCAAATGCCGGAGAGCTTTTTGTAATCACAGCGAAAACTCATATTCTCTACAGTAAAGTAGCACACACGCATACCTGGTTACTGTCATGTTTAGACGAGCCGCTGCTGTCACTGTGAGTGGGCGACGACGACGTCATCTTTCTGGGACTGAACCGCTTTCTGCCCACCGTTGTTTTGTTTCTGTGGAAACCGCAGCAGCAGAGATCACAGCAGAGCCGCCAGGAGCATCACTCTGACCTTTGAAGGCCAACGAAAGAGTCAGCACTGCGGAGAAAGGTGGGAAACAAACTGATGTCAGAGCAGCGCTCAGGTGGCAGCGTGGGGGGCGACACAGATCCAATCAGAGAGGAATCACTTACTCAATGAGTGTCTGACTAACTGTGAACAGCCTTATTGAGGATATAGAAATCCCCTAAGTCCAAAGTAACTTGGTTTTAAGGAAGCAAGAAACAAATATCCAAAATAAAAAAAACACATGTGTCACGATCTGTGTTGTGTTTTGTCTTTGGTTTCATGTTTTATTTTGTAAAGTGTTCACTCCCTGTCTTGCCTGTTGCTTTCTGTCTGTTTTCCCTCCTAACTGATAACCCGATTGTGTTCACCTGGTGCCCTTGTGTTTTCTCCTCCCTCCTCACCTGTGTTTTGTTTGTGTGATTAGTCCTGTGTGTATTTAAGTTCTGGTTTTTCTGTCTGTCATTGTTGGTTCATTGTTTGTCGTTGACTGTGTTCACGAGGTAGTGTTCTGTTTTGTTCCTTAAAATAAAAAAAGGTATTTTTTTTCTGTTTATTCTGCATTTGGGTCCTGCCTGCTTCACTCACCCTAACAACATGAGAGGCTGATAATTCTTTATCATGAGCTGTGACGCACTCGCAGATCAAGGTTCAACTTGCACCATGTGTTCTCAATGATGTCTGCCTTTTTGTGGACTCTGATACTTTTGAGTACACACATAACTCACATATATGTTTACAGTCAGCATTCATCACTGTGGGAGTGCCATACAAGTGCGCTGATCAAAGGCCTTCGTGTAAAAAAAAAGCATGTGATCATCAGGAAAATAGCAATACATTTCCCATGGAGTAGGGGATGCACCACTCTGAATTCGTCAGCCTCAATACCATTAAATAATAAGCAGTATGCCTCACTTTGTAAGACTGAAAGGAATCTTACTTTTAAGGTGTAAGGTAACGTCAGTTAGGGTTGGGCGATGTGGCGGTACACAGTATACCGCAATGGTAGAGTTCTGTCCATCGGAAGAGATTCAGCGATACTCAAAGATTAGTAAAACATATTGTTTTAATATTACAAAGAATTCAGGCTGGATTTGTTTTGCTCCAACTGGTCACAAGTAACTCTTCAGAACATTTCTAACCCAAATAAAAGATTATTTTAACATCATCAGCATCTTGATTTAACATTCATTTCCGAATTGTTAAAACAATATGAAACAGATTGGTACAAATGTACTGAATTATTATCTATTCAAATAATGGTTTCCAATAAGATGTCGGCCAATTGTCACGATTCCTAATCCAGCGATATGAGTCAGCATCAGGCAGACATCAGTATCTCAGTAGAGTGTGCAGAGCATCCTACAAGTGAGATTATCATTGAAATAAACAAAAGGGTTATAACTCCAGACAGGCTACTTGTTTCGATGTGCCAGATAAAACTACCACGTTAAAGGAGAGGTGTCATGGCCATTTCCACTGATCATAATTCCGTTGTTGAGGTATACTAAAATAGAAAAATACTGTGCAATTTTCCAAACTCACATTGGTTTCGCATACAGCATCTCTGTAAAGTATGTGTATTCAGCAGTATTCACTTTCTCCATTAAACGGCTCGCTGCATTGATTTGCTCGCTGCATTGATTTATCCTTCTGTATCAGCATTGTGGAGTTGATTGTGAATTTGAATGTTTCTTTCATGTGTGTTGATCAAATGTTGTGTTTGAAGCTCTGCCTTGAGATTTCGTGAGGTCATGGATGGTGTATGTTAAGCTAGTTCTAATTTATCTTTATGAAAAAAAAACATAATTCAAAACCACCTGCAATGAAAACACATTCCCAATTAGCTTTGCACTTATAAAGAGTTTTGCATTGTGCCTCTACATATAACAGATAGTATGCGCTGTGCATGTTAATGGTTGCATGGGATAAGCAGGGAACGCCTTCTTCTCACTCTAGCGTAACATTCATTCCTCTCCTCGCCACAAATGACATGCCCCAACCTGGATGTGTGTTTTATTGCCACTCCTTTTTTATGAGTATACTGTCAAAACCTAGCCTCGGGCGTGTTTATCAACATGTGAACAGAGCACGTAACGGAATGTTTGCTTCGTGTGTAGACGCACGCAAATTTGTGTAAACTCTTGGATTTTTTTAAGTGTGCAGCATGCTACATCCTCTGCAAACGGTCTAGTGGTTTGTGTGCATGTGTGTGTTCAGTAGTTCCCCAAGGCCCCGCTCACAGTCAGTACCATGCCTAGGACGTGAGTCATCAACAGGAAAGAATGTGCTCTGTGCTTCGATACCCCCGACACACCATAACACACAGCTAGCTACGGTCAACACTGGGCTAAAACCAGCCTGAAACACATGGACGGCCCACTTTCTTCACAGCTCCGGAGCACAGACTAAAAGTACAGACAACATATTTTGAGAAGGCTTGAATTGATAAACTTGGAGGGCTCGGATTAGATCATCAAGTTGTTGGGTTCACACTTTTCAGGCTGTGACATGTCTGGCGTCTCCAGCTGCCACTGAAGCATTATCTCAAATCAAGTTCAGGAATTTGCACAGAACACCATTTTTCTAGGCTTTCAACAACAAACGGTGCATCTATACATAAAACATTATGTATGGGGATGTGGTGTAGGAGCTCAGGGCATGGATGGTACATTTCCAGCTTTGACTGCATTTGAAGAATACAACTAGATTATTACCTTTACATAACACGCTGTCCTCTATTCCTCAGCCGTTTCACTTTTACACAACTCAGCAGCAAAGTTAGCAGAAAAACACTTCCCTTTGAGCAAAAACCTCCACTGCCACTGTGCACATGTCTCGTTTTGAAGTGTCACTACCTCTCGACACTTCCTCACTTCAAAAGCTTCCATGAAAGCTGTGTATTAGTCTATCTGCTACAGATGAACTGTCAGTCCCTGAACATCCCACGAGTGCCCTACTTACCTCCAGTGAGTGATTACTGTAGCATTGTACACCGCCGAGCCACCTGCACTGTAAGACTAGAAGTGCTTGCCTTTAGTCTTACGTAATGGTAGTCAATCATTAATAGCACAACACCTTGTAAATGATCCGTTAAGATGAAAAAGGGGTCATTCTCACGGCAAGGGCCAATGCCACGGAGTCACAAGCTCCAATTAGGGAATACAAGGTTTAAAAGGTGATGGTTTTTGTGTTTTCTATCTTTTCTTAACACGTGTCAATATTCATGGGATCAGCTGATGGGAGACAGGAAGTGATTAGCCGATTCAAATGGGTAAGGTTTTGTCAGGATGTATGGAAGTCTGACAACAGTGAGACGCCATAAGGTCACGTGTTGGTCCAACAGCAAACCTGTAAAAAGCTGATTAACCTTTTGTACGAACGCTGTTCTGTTTTTGCCCTGTAGCATATTGTCTTATTCACTGCACTAAAGGAACGTACCAATAAGGATTCAATGGCTTTTTTGTCATATGCACAAAAGCTAGTTGTGGCTCCTCCAACAATTTAACATAAAATATACTTATACATACAAGAGATAAAATAGTGCTAAAGACAAAATGAAATAATGTACAGTAGAAAATCTGTTATTCTTCTGAATCCCAGTAACCAACAAACTGTCAACCACACTAACCACTGTTGCTTCCTCAAAGCTTTCACATGCCAAACTTTGTTCACAAGAGTGCATGCACTTCAGGAATGCTGCTATTAAAAGGCATTGTTCAAATAAACTCAAACAATGTCCAACAAGTCATTAAGTAGGCCTGCATCATAGCTACAGGCAACACGTAATGTGTATTTACAGAAAGCCCTGAGACTTTCATACAGCAAAGCCTCATCTGTTGTTTCCCTGTTTCCATGACAGGTTCTGAAGACAAGTGACGCTTGAGGAATCGTCAGTCTGGAGGCTCCAGTCCTGGCATCACAAAAACACAGACATTGACTTAGCAGCCAATCCATCTGCTTTTCCCCGTTCACATTCTCGCAACAGCAGGACCGCCATTAACCTGACAGTGCACATAGTTGTATATCCTCTCCATTACGGGCGGCAAAAAGGTCCTCACAGATGGACCATATGTGACTTTACGTCCAATAAAGCGTCTTCCGGTAAAGCTTCTTCACAAAATTACTGAGTCAAAGCTGTGCATGATCCGCTGATTATCAAACTGAGAGCCGGCTTAAAATAGTCTCACATCTGGCAATATCACCCGGCTACTTCTTAACACACCCCAAATGTTAAGAAATGGATGTTGTGCAGCATATGGTTTTGCATTGGATGTTGGCAGTAGCACTCTGCTTATCTGACCTGTGACATGATGCCTTAACATAATGTTTCCTCTGACGTAACATGATGCGTGCCTTTTCTGTATTCAGGCAGAGAATAACTCATTTGGGCAGCAGCGAGTGATCAAAGAGGTTCAAATCAGCCTCAATATGCCATTCAGCAACCAGATATTTCCATGTGCACTCAAAGAGAGCCAGAAAGAGAACAAGCATTCTCATTTATTCTTGACCGATGTATTTTTGCAAAGCTACATCCCAAAAGACGTCTCTTCTTGGTCTATTTCCTGCTGAGACAACAGACACTTTGTGTTACTGCTCAATCACAGGTTGCTATGGATACTGAAAAACACAAGGCAAATGCAAGAATATATTCAGTTTGTTTGTTCTTTCGGGAAAATCTGAGGGCATAAAACATGGGGCTATTTATAGAACCTTTGCCGTTACCAGCAGGAACACGATTTCACATGAGTGTCAGCTGGAAGTAGGACACAGCATCCTATAACCTTATAAAACCTTGAGTTCACAGGCGGGCTATTCTCTGAGTGGCCACTTGGTGTGACAGTCAAAGCGGGAATGCTGTGTATTGACCAGCTTTTAAGTGGGTGTTGTGCAAAGGAGAGTGACATAGAGATAACTCAGTGAGTCACGACAGCCATGCTGGATGTTTACGCCCAGAAATGTTGCAGCAGGAATAAACATTTTGGGCTGGATTGCAATCAGCTGACTGAAAGACTTCATTGATTCATGTGTTGCAATCCTCTGTTGGATCCAAATCACCAAGTTCAGAGGGGAAAGCCTGGAACAGCGCCCCCTAAAGACACAAGGATTCATGGCAGATACAACACAAGGGTCTTTAACCCAGATTGTGGGTTTGCAATGCAGCCTTTTAATACTTCTACTCTTCCTAGGGCTGCAACTTGTGTGCATCTTCATTTAAAAAGAAATCTGGAGTTCAGTTTCTGGATTATTGGTTAAGGATCACTTGGTCTTTAAAGTGTCAGTCATATCAGAAATTCCCAAAGCCCTTTCTGACAACCTCAGTTTCTGATTTTTCCAACAATCCAAAACACAATTGTATTCAGTTAAATATGGTATGAACTTTTTGATGAATCAACTAATTGTTTCATCCGCTAGATTAGAGGAATAACTCGTTCCTATAAAAGGCTTTTGATGAGAATAGACATTTTATTTAAAGCAATTTTGGTATTCTCCTTCATTTTTGTCTGTAATGTAGAAATCTACAGCATATATCAATATCTGTCTACATCTATATATATATATATCTTTATTTATACCATTTTTTGAACCAGCCTCCTCTCAGTTTAGATGTTAACTTCAGGGCTTTATAGATTTCTTTAACACTAGCTTGGGTCCTGTGCTGGCAATGTGTGCCAACAGGCAGTCAATGAATGGCACGTAGATAGTGATGCCATCTCCACTCATGCATAAAATAATCCTGTTTGGACTAAGAGGTGTAAAGGCCAAGTATTGATATACAGTATGATAACAACAAAGCCCTTAAGCGTCACAAAATCCTAAAGTGAAACCCTTGAACGGCTAATGCCGATTATTTTATTAATTATTGGAGAGGGATACAACAGACAATTATTTATTATCATTTAAAAAATCATTGTCCATTAAAAATTATCAGAGTTCTAAAATGAAATCTTCAAATATCTTGTATTTTCTTACATTACTATGAATTAACTTGTGCCCTGTTAAGCTTTTGTCAATCGACAAATGGAAAATCAAGTCATCATTTCAACTCTATCAGTGAGTGTGGCCTGCAGGTACACATACTGTACTCTGTACTGTATGTGTAGTTCAAGCACAGGATTTTGTATACTGTCCTATATAAAAACACTTAGCATTGCTATAATGTAAATGAATGAACATTCAATGCATATCTCTTCAAATCCTACCAGCATAGCAAAACAACAGCCCTAATAGGCTACAATGTCAATATTTACCATTAACACACTAAATAAAAGCAGTAACAATAGTGTGCTTGTGCTGGGGATGATGTCAGCACTGTAACCGATGCCGATTGGTTAAATTAAAAAGTCATTAATGGGGATACACTCCACGGGGAGAAACCACAGGTGTCCCGTGCTGCTCAGTTCCTGTTGCCAACAGCCAACACAGCAATTCAAAGTTGTCAGGCCAGACAAAATGCACTATATATCCCATGTGGTCGTGAACCCCTGCACTCACACACAGCCTCAATGAAACTCAACCAGCACATCAAACAGGAGATACACGGACGCTTTAACACACCAATTTAGCTCCAAATGTCACGAGGAAGTCCATTAATAATTCTATCGAGAGCGATATTTGACAACTAAAGCCACGACAGGAGTCAACTCTCCCGCTTACTATAAACGGAAGCTATACATTAAGGGGAGAAACACAGACATGGTTCCACGCAAGTTATGAGAATTATTTAAAGAATATACTTACGGTTCTATGGCGAAAGCTAAAGCATCCTATCCTGATAGTAGAGACATACGGTACCTGGCTTTGGGCTACTGCTCCTCGTTACAATGCCGGAGCTATGTGGAGGAGGAGGGCTCTGCTCTGTGGGCAGGAGTGACTGACGTTCCTCTGAGCCAATCACAATCCAGGAAAGACACCCGGGGGCGGGTTTAAAGAATGGGCGGACACTTTTGTGAACCTACCATAGAGTGACGTAGGCAGATATGTAAAAGACAGGAAAATACAATCAAGGTGAAAGTTTGGCGATAAACAATGATGTAGCAGGTAAGCTCCAGCTGTTCACGTGAATTCATGATAATACACGAGTTAATGAGTGTGTTTATGTATATGTTCTTTATGTTTGTTACCCCATTCATAGACGGTTTGGTTTCGGTCATTTTGGCATCAATTACAAGCTTGCTTTATATTTCACTGTGCCTTGAAGTCGAAAAAACAGGCTGTTAGATTAAAAGATATATGAGGCCCATTTCCGCCCCGGTCCTTAATCTTTGACCCCAGCATATACAACTACATAGTTCAGTCAGGTTTAAAGAAACGTCAGAACATGTGTATAGGTTAGAACAACTGGCTAAAGATGCCTTTCTTCTTCAATAACGAAAGCGTAGCTTAAAAAGTAAATAATATAAACACAACTTTCTAAAAACGCTTAATCCTTCACAATCAAACAAATGTAAAGACTAATCACTAATACAAAATTGATAGTAACATGATCATTTGAGTGAGAATGAGAAGTTTCTGTTTACAAAGCTGAGATACAACAATACAATCCATGAAGTGTTCATCTTTTCCCATTAAAATCCTTTCCAGAGGTTTAACGATAATGTAATCGTTGATTGTTTATTGATTCAACAAGGTTGTCAAAAGAGATGGTCAGCTGTATTCTAATGAAATGTTAATTAAGTGACAACTCTGAAAATAAAAGTCCACTTCGTAGCTTCGGAGGTCAAATAAGTCATACTCCATCATGTAACAACCAATAAAAATGACATTATTATTACCCTTTATTTTTGGAAAGGCCATAGAACAAGCTTCCTTTGTCAAGACACCCTAATACAATATAGTCAAACAGTTTTACAGTTAAGACAATGGAAGTTATAATATGCATTGCCAAAAAGGCAAGGACATCTAGATAAGGTACAAGATCAACTCAAAGAAAAACACATGCATTCACAATGCTCAATGTCAATCAAAGGGGGTTTAAATTCATTGAAAGGGATTAGCTTGACTAAGCCTATATTAAAAAGCCAGTTTCCCAATCCCAGTATTAATGTAGATAAAAAGTTGCTGTTCTTTCTCACTACCATCAATTACCACCCACCATTGTAGTACAATAAACAATAATGCGTTGTAAAGCCATCCTAATATTTCACGATTATATTCAGTATTAATCATCAACGAATAAGGAGGAAATGGATATTAAAATGATCATTAAATAGCTTTTTATGTCTGAACAACGCTCCAAAACCTAAATATATTCAGTTTGTTATGACTTATCGATGTGTGACTATTATGACTGAGACAAAGAACTAGGGGCTGTTTGGTGATTTTGGCTTGAGCAATGACTCGGCGATTAATTTAAAAAAAATTCCAGTAACTGACTGATGAATCCTCTAACCTTTTGAGGATTGTAGGACACGTTTTGATCCTGCGTAAAAGCCAGTAGATGGGGTGATACAGTATTTCACAATAATCAGTCTGATGCTTGTCTTCAGACATTCTGGTTGCAAAAGATGGCTTTAACCACAAGTGCTGTTTGCTGGAACGATGAGTAAGTGAGAGAAGTTGTGTGATTACAACCAGACAGGGTGAGCATGTGGGTGAAGGAATGAGCATGTGTTTATGTGTTTCTATTTCATATCCGTCAGTTTTAAAGCTCCTAACTTCTTTCGCCAAGAAAAAAGCTTTGCAAAGTCGACCTCTGCTGCCCTTGTTTCTCTCCGAACCACCTTCATTCCTTGGATTTGTTTACCAAACAAAACAAATTCCCTCCTTTGCATGGTCATGAGTCTGTCACTTCCTGCCTGGGCTTATTTCTATGGCAACAGAAGGCAGGGAAAACATAAAATGAGGGAGAAAAACGTAGTTGAAACGGAGAGTTAGAGCTGGGTGTGGCCAGAAACTCTGAACCGACAAAACTAATGACTATGTTTTTGGAGTTTAAAGGAATCCTGGCACTGAGAGAAAACGAAAGTTGATTGCTGGCGTGGCAAAGCGTGATGTTGGACAGGGAATCCACGGAAATAATAGATTATCAGTGTTTGTATCACAGACTTTTCCATTGTCAAACCCAGCTGGAATCCCATGTTCTTACCTAAGAAGTGCACAGTTTAAGCCACAAGGGAACACACCCTGGCATGCCTGACACGTGCCACACACATTCACATTTTCCGCTATTAGCACATCTTATGGGGTTGATGGAGAACTGACAGCGAGACCCTCATAAATAACACAATGTAATGTAAGCTGAAACGTGATACCTGCAAGTGTGTGTGTGTTGCAGTATAGCTATTCATATCCCTTACCATCTTACTGTCATTTACAGTGCACACAGGCAGATTATGTAAGACAGTGTCATCTGTAGGTTAGATTTGGTTACTGCAGTGCTGGTGGTGTCAGTGACCTCATGTTCTGTTTAACAAAGAGACAAAGAACATGGACTGCAGGGAGGTCCCCGTGCTGTTTGAACTGCATACGAAGGTCTTTCATTTTCTTAGCTCTGTGCAATCTGACTTTAAGTGTAAAGGGGGGAAATGAAGAGAGACAACACCCTTCAACCAGAGAACCTCTCTCAAAAGTTTAAGTGCCCTTTAGCAAGACTGACAGGGTCCCTGTTCTATATCTGAACATGACCTCTGACCCTATTAACCCTCAAGGGGGCTTGAGTTTAGTGCTGTGATTTTTCTTGGCGAGGGTCCATTCTTTTCTATTGATTAAACAAACTAAATATACCTTGGTAATTAGTGAGCTTTTAGACGTGCTAGGCAGATTTTGTTATCTTTGGACAGAGTCAGGCCAGCTGTTTCCCGCATCTTTCTCCCCCTGTGCACTCCACATGTTCAGCTAGTCTAACTTAGCCTTTAAGCTAACCTTCCTTTGCAGGAGTAGATGTTGTGGAATCACTCTTCCCAGGTAACTCCCAGCAAGAAAGAAAAACATTTCCAACTATTAACATTTAGCTTTAAGATGATATGATGATCCAGATGCTGCCCTTAGATATCATGTCAGTTTATCCTGCGAGGTTGTGGTGCATACAAAGAAAATCACTTTAGCATTGGACTAACCCTAACCCCAAATGAATTGCCATACAATAAACCTGGGGTCTTCAGGCCCTCTGAGTTGCCCTCTTCACCTGGTTGGTAAGTCGGAAAAAAATACGTTTCTCAGTATGAATCAGCACTGCATTACTTTATCACTACTGTTGCCCCTAGTGCTAAAATGTTCCATGTCTGCAGAGGGCGGTGTTGCACAGAAGCAATGCAGCGTGGGGCTTCGACAGACAGCTGCAGTTCAGATGTCTCATCTCAGATTTACTAACTGACGACTTTGTTTTAATGGCTCTTAAAGCCCACATTTTTTTTTAAGTCTTGTTTGTGACTAGTTTTGCATTATGCTTGCTTGAGTGACGCTAATCCCAGACTTTATGTGCATATGAGTGCTTTGTGTTTACTTTCGTGCCAGCCTATCACAGTTTCCAGGGTGCTTGAGTTCCTGGGTATGAGTGTTATCTTGTGTTCAGCTCAGTGATCTTAAGGCATTACATTGTCCCGGGGTTATTATGTGATTGAGGCTGATTATGTGCATGCAGACAGTCTCTATCAAACTCAGTAGATCAAAGGGTTACCCTCCCCAATACACACACACACACACACACACACACACACACACACACACACACACACACACACACACACACACACACACACACACACACACACACACACACACACACACACTCTATCCTTTACACTGCTCTCCTTATTCCTCTATCTCCCCCTCCACTCTCTCCACCATTTCAACGAGGCAATAGCATGCTCTCTAATTTTTTCCAGATGTCAAGTACCTCCCTTCCCTTCCTTCATTTTTAACTCTCACAGGGTCGACTGAAAACCCGGAACGTTTTGCCCTCCTTTCCCCGCTCCCCCCTTCCCCTCCTCCTCTCTTTCTCTCTCCCCCGGCTCATTCGACATGTTGGTTGCAACGACAAAACATGACCTCTTAGGAGGTCAGACAGGAGAGGCTCGAGCTCTCCCAAAGCAGAAAGGAATGTCTAAGCAAATGTGTTTCCCACATTGCATGATGAGATCGTGCAATCAGACGTTCAATCTGCGCTGTATTTCAGTGCCAGCTGTTTGTTAAATGCTCTTTTGCTTTGAATTTGATGAGATTTGTATTTGTTTACCAGCACGTTTCTTTAAGTTGCTGCAGCTGGAGCCTGTCTCGTCCATTTTTCCCTCCATCTTGCGCTTCTCGCTTACTTCCTGCTATGGGAACCACTTGGGGGTGTGTGCACAGGGATGTGAAGGGTTACAGGCATGGGGCCCAGGTGTTCCCTCCACTCTTATTCACTTTTATACATTAAGTTGCACCTAAAATGTGTCTGCATCGTCTTAAATCTCTCCGTCCTGTTACACAGAGGGGATATAATCTACTTCACCATTTCCCTCTTAAGTGCATAAACACATCCACTCACAAACATATACAGGGACGCACACACCGTTAACACGAGTAAGCATGGACTAGATCCATGATTCCCGGCTAAAGCACTTAACGATCCCAGCAGCTGTTGCTCATGTAAACTCTCTCTCTCTCTCTCTCTCACACACACACACACACACACACACACACAGTCCCATCGCCTCTTCTCCTTTCCTTTGTCTCGCTCTCATTTCTTTATCCTTGCATATCGGTTCTCTAAGGCAACTATGACTTCAAATATAGACTTCACACAAAGAAACGCATACATGCTCCTAATCAAGCAAAAGTGCACACACACAAATGTGTACAAGTGAGCCTACACATGCTTTCTAACTGTGCCACACACAGGGACAATCTGTTATCTGTTTGGACGATTTGCTATTGATTAAAGGCCTGTTGGAAGAGTAATCTGGGGAACAAAGCATGTTCATTGTGGCCCATCCTTCCCGCTGATTACTATGATAGAGCCCGGATACGTGCTAGTTTCAAGCGGTGTTATGTTACCAGGACGTGTCCCATACGGGTTGTGTGTCTCTCATGCATGGTAGGCCCTGAGGGAAAAGTGAGCCGCTGTGATCCCTGCATTCTGACGTACAATGGGATGCACATGTTTCCACTGGCACAACTTCTTGCAGGTTTGTGACTTTGTGAGAGGCTTACACTGTCCGTCCTGCTGGCTGCAAGTGTTTCATGTGATTGTGAAGTCCTGTGTGCAAGAATGTCTTAGTACTACATTTGTACTAATATGCATTCTCTGCCACAGCATGGTAAGATACAGCATTTTACCTTTTTTTTTACATTTTAGCCTTGTTGCAATTTAACACTAATGTATTTCAAGGTCTGGATTAGTATTTGACTGAAAACACGTTATAAAAAATTATTATAGTTGAAATCTTAGGAAATGTGTTTATTTGTATTATTGCAGACTGTTTGATGAGTAGATGTATATGATCTTGTGTGTGGTATGAAACAGTCAGGAGATGTAGCTTAGCTTAGCATATAGACAAGAAAAAGGGCCAGCTTGCATGGCCTGGAGACTCTGTTGGGTTCTAAATTGCAAACTCATGTGTTGCATTCTACATACTCAAACAGTATATGTACTGAATAATGGCTACTCAATGAATGATTCAGTATTCCATTACCTGCAAACTGTTCACATTGACTGTATCAATATGAAGTTACTGGTCTGAGCAACCTTTGAATACAAAATGTTCATCAGTAATCAACATGACGTCTTCTACGCGTTTAAATCATTTTTTTATTAAGATAAAAACCGATTTCTCACTTCACGCACGGGCACACCAACACTCCTCTGTCTCTGTCCCTCATTCACGGATAAGCTGTTTCAACTGCTAAAGCCTGTGCAGGAGAAATGTAACACTGCTCGGTGACCTACATACACTGCAGCTTCATCTCATTTACATGCACACACAAACTCACCTGCACTGGCCTGGTTTTTCCAAACATACTTTGGCACACATTGTTTAGTTTTGTGAAACAGGCACACTCAGTCTCATATACAAGCCCTGCGCTCTGTGTTTATGTGGAGTTTCTCCCACACATACACACTCTTTTTCTCTGCAGAGGGACTGAAATGTCATATGGCCGGCTGATTGGACAGCGAGAGGCCCTCTGCGAGGAGAGGGAGGGGATGAAACGATGGGCTGAAAGTCTGCAGCCTTTTGTTTGCAGGCACAGTGGCAGGCAGCTCTATACGGGGTCCTCAAGGCTGCCTATTGTGCCAGAATCTTTCTCAACTGGGTCAGAAGACTTTTTCCCCACACAACTATCTCTGTCTGCATCGGTCTAACATTGCACTCACTTCCCCCTCGTCTGATCCCCTGCTCCCACCGAATGCAGATCGTTTCCATCTTTTATTCTATGAGTCTCATTTACACACTAAACTCTCCCTGTAATTAATCCCACACCCTAATCCTATTTCAAATGATATGTTAACGTTAAGCTCAAGTTTCTTCGCAATGCTACAGTTAGAGCCAACCTGTGGTGGTGAAATATTTGGTGTATTCCTTTCAGCTCTGACACAGACCAGGTGACGGCCATAAAACTAACTGGACTGGTCCCTCAGTGTCTGAGACCAAATCTCTGACTGTTTTCTCAGTGTGTGTGTTCCTCAGAGAGACAGAGGGGGAGCAGAGATGCAGAAACTCTATGGAGAAATGGGAGACAGGAAATGACCTCCCTGAGAGAGGGGGCTTCCCCAAGGGTTGGATTTCTCTCTGCCTCTGACACACATCTATATGATGTCTACCAACAGATATGCACGGGAATGAGAAAGCTAATCAGGGAGTTTTCTAGGCTTTTGCTCAGTGCTGGAAATGCAGAGAGCTAGTCAACCGTTAGCTCAGCTCTGGAAACCATTGCATCACTGGCCTCTCAAGGGAAGGTGTGTGTGTGTGTGTGTGTGTGTGTGTGTGTGTGTGTGTGTGTGTGTGTGTGTGTGTGTGTGTGTGTGTGTGTGTGTGTGTGTGTGTGTGTGTGTGTGTGTGTGTGCATAAGCAATTATGACTGCTTATTCATCCCATGGTTGACTAATTTCTGCACATGGAAATTGACATCATGTTGCAACTCAGTGTGTGAACTAGTTAGCAAGTGAACAGGAACTTGTAAAATGTTTAGCTACAAGTAATAGACAAGCACATTTAAATTGTTAGCTAAAAGTAAAGAATACAATTCAAATAGTATGCTCAAAGAACAAGAAACAGTAGAAACGTCCAGGTAGGGGAAAATGTGGTTGGTAGTCCCACTTTTTACTTGGGACTAATGAACTAATAAGATAAAAAATGATTAAAAAAATGGTGTCTTTAAAAAGCTCCCTGAGCTCAATATCAAGTGTCTAACTCCTGAAATGACCCTGGAGGTGACCTCTGACCCTAATCATGAACATTTTTAGGACCAGCATTTCCTTACAGCGCCCTCTAGAGAGTGAGATCTAAATAATGTGACAAACATCCCCATTCTCCCCTAACATAAAACATAACATTTATAAATACATTGAAACAAAGCATATTGTAACAATATCCAATTTTATATAAATAACCTGGCCAAATATTATCCAGGTAGAAATGATTGGAAACATGCAATGGGTGCTGACTGATCTAATAGAGCTGTATAAGAAAATATGGGAAAACCTTGATATGTGTGTGCTGTATTTCAGTTAGTAAGCACTCTACCTCATGTGCCATAAATGTGCAGATGTTTCTGCACTAACATTGCATGCTTTTCAGACTGAACTGGAGCATACACTTTCATGTACAAGCAGGGAATGGTGCTCGACTCGCCCTGCATTTATTTCAAAACTTTCAAGTTGGGGAGATCTTTAACTGAGATTTGGCACCTCTTTTCGTCAGTCTTAACACACACTTAACTTCCCAAATTCCTCATCTGCAAATGTGAACCATCTGTGCTCTTTTGTGGCCCCAGCAGCCCAGCGTGTTAATGAGAGAGTTGTAAATTACAGCTAAAGCTGCTACATGATGATGGCGTTTCTACTGTAGCCTTTAGTGTGTGGACTGAGCTGTTGATGTGTTGATTATAGATTACACTTACTTAATTTTTCTATGTCTGTTCTTTTTCTATCAGGATGCGTCAAATAGCTATTCACTACAGCTGTTTTATGAATTATCATTTTCATATCAATCAAAACCGGTGACAATATCCATCTAAGCTTTTTGTTATACTTGTTACATGAGTAAGTTTGCTCTGTCTGCACCCTGCTGCAAGGAAATCCAAAACCTCGGTATCCCCTCGGGATTTCGTGGGAAGTAAATTTCCCCTTCTGCTTTGTCCATACCCGGCCGGGATCCGATCCAGATCTCAGACCCCCGGTGGCTGCGGGGGCGCGCATAAAACTCGGTCATGGGGTCCAGCTCAGTTTCACCCTCCTTCTCTCACTCTAGATCTCGTGTACGTGTGTATTGGTTTGATTATGTGCGTGAACGCGCAGCGCTCTGGATCTCCTTCGTCAAGAACTGTGCACATCTGGTTTTGGCAGGGTCGCAGAGTTGCGGGGGAGGGACTTTGTATGTGTGTGTTTGAGAGCACGCTCTGCGCATGAACTCTGTAATTCGCTGCAGATGACCACTTGGGGATGGAAGCTTTTGGGGTGGTGAGCGTTCCCTCAGACAGCATCAGAGAGCACGGTACTAATTAATTTGCTCTATAGAAAATGCTGCTAAGTGGTGCTGGAGTCGCGTGTAGCCTACTGCACTTTTCTCTGCATGTTTAAGAGCAACAAGTGGATTATGGACGAGTCTATCTGCAGCGTGACAGGGGAGAGGGGCGACTGCACCTGAACAACAGAAAGCGAATGCTGCACCAGTCTCTCCTGCGCAGTGGGAATGGATACCGGCAATTCCCTGACGGGGATTTGCTTCATCCTGCTGTCGCTCAATGGATTCATCTCTTCCTCACCGGCGACAATCCTTTGTCCCGAGCGCTGTGACTGTCAGCACCCGCAGCACCTCATGTGCACCAACCGAGGGCTGCGCACTGTGCCCAAACCTGCCACGCGTGTGCCCGAGGAGTTGCTGATCTTCAGCCTAGGGGGCAACTTCATTGGGAACATCTCTGCCTTTGACTTCACATGGTATAGTAACCTTGTACGATTGAATTTACAGTACAATCAAATACAAAGTATTCATCCAAAAGCATTTGAGAAACTCTCCAAGTTAGAAGAGCTGTACTTGGGACATAATATTTTATCAAGTATACCTGCTGGGACTTTACAATCCCTGAAGAAATTAACAATTCTCTGTGGAAATGATAATGACATTAAGGAGATCACACCAGAGCTCTTTGCTGACTTGGATAATCTTGTTAAACTGCGTCTGGATGGCAACTCAATAGAAGTTCTGCAGGACTCTGTTTTTAAAAGTTTGACCAGTCTACATTACCTCCATCTGGAATTCAACAAGCTGCAGCACATTCACAGAAACGCTTTTTCTAAACTCACCAACCTGCGCTTTCTAAACCTGGCCCACAACAAGCAGTCAGCCGTGCACAATGCCCTAACTTTCTCCCAACTCAAAGCTCTGACAACCCTGCTGCTGTCTGAAAATGAAATTCAGCACGTCGGAAACCACGTGTTCCAAAATCTGAAAAAGCTGTCCAAACTGTCCCTCAGCAACAACAGAATCTCCCGCCTGGACAGCGGGGCTCTGAAGGGGCTGTCCAGCCTCAGAGAGCTTCTGATTGATGGCAACGAGCTGGAGGAAATCCCAGCCGGTCTCCTGGACTCTCTTGAACGCATCGAGGAGCTGGACTTCAGTCGCAACCGTATTTCTAAAGTGGACTCTTTGGCTTTTTCCCATCTTAAACATCTGAGGGTATTGAAGCTGAAGAACAACATGCTCACCAGCCTGTCAGGAGACATCTTTGCCCTCAACAACGTGCTTTACAACCTGGATCTCCAGGGCAACAACTGGACGTGCGACTGTCGCCTGGAGGAGCTGAAAAGATGGATGACAGCTGCGCATTCTCAGGGAAAGTTATTGACTGTTTTTGTGCAGTGTCATGACCCTGTAACTCTAAGGGGGAAATATCTGGACTATGTGAACAGCTCCCAGCTGCAGCCCCTCGGGAACTGGACCCATATGTGTAGTAGCCAAGTTGGGCCAGAGGAGAGCCGAGGAGGGGGTGTGTTGGTTAAGATGAAGGGGGAAGAGATAGGGAAGGTGGATGCAATAAAGCAGGAGGAGGGAGGTGAGGAAGTCCAGGTGGAGGAAACAGGTGAAGATCTGAGACAGGCAAACAGCTTTGGAGTTATAATGAAAAAAGAGGGAGAAAAGAGGAAGAGAGAAGGACAGAAGGAGGAGGAAATCCAGGAGGACGAAGGAGGTGTGGAGGATGCCAACCCATCTTCTTCACCAGGAAGAAAGAAACCAAACAAAGGGCCACTCAGCCCAAGGTCACGACCTGCGGCAGAGGCTCCTGGGAAACGTGGCAATGGTAGACGAAGGTCAAATGTTACATCCAGAACTGAACCAACAGCTATTTCAACACCTACAGGAAACCAGGACAGAAACTCCACTGATCCAAACTCAGGGCTCATCACTGCCTCTACACTCCAGTCAGGAGAAAAGTTTGACCTTCTGAGGTCAAATCACGAGGAGGCTCTACCAGTAATCACAGATCCATGTGAGTTCAACCACCATTATATCACTAATGTGTCAGTGGATCAAGTGACATCCAGTACTGTCACCATCTACTGGACTACCAGGGATCATCAGCGCTACTCAGGAGGACTTGGCCCAGGCCTAGATGAAGTCCACTATCGGATTCAGTTTGACCGCTTTGGTACCGCAGATCGTTTCCCCCGGTACGTTTACGCTCGCGGCACAGCTCGCTCCGTAACCCTTCGAGAACTCAGCTCAGATGTGACCTACATGGTGTGTGTGGAGGGAGTAGTGGGAGGATCTGTGTGCCAGGTTGCTCCTCGTGAACATTGCACAGGACTGGTCACTCTTCCTCAGGGGTTCAGCCGTGGAGGCATGCTGACCTCTGACCTCGAGCTGGTGACAGTGGCCACGCTGGCTGGGAACGCCATGCTGCTGCTGGTCATCGGCGGCGTCTGGCTGGGGCGGAGCCTGAAGAGGAGGCTGCAGAAGAGGAAGACGGCGGTGCACGTGCGACACATGTACTCCACCCGGCGACCGTTTCGTACCGCAGTGGCCGCCGCCTCGGTGTCAGCTGACTTCACCACCTACCAGAGCAGCCGTCCCGCACGACTTGCACCCCTGGAGGAAGGGGACCTCATCGAGTTCCCTTGTGATCGCTTTCTGGACAGCAGTAGTGTTCGTAGAGATAGTGAAATGCAGAGATTTTCTGACTAGAGCCATTAACATATCTTAAAGTGTTACACTCTAAGATAAGATAAGAAGTACTTTATTGATCCCAATTTGGGAAATATTTGCGTTGCAGCAGCATAAAAAGACATGGAATTGTACATTAAAAATTAAAAGACTAGAAATAAACATTCCAAAATGTAAACATGTCAATTCATCTACCACAGCAACACAGGAATTGGGCTGCAATCTTTGGTGTATTTCCCTCTGTTGTTGACACACTTCCATACTAAAAACATTGGGTGATTTTATGGATTTGAACAAACCAAGTCAACAATCCCACTATTTTGAGTCTTTGGTTTTTCACTTGACCGTAAGAAAACGTTTGAACTGACAATAGAACAGCTGAGCTCATCAGTGCCTTTTCAGACACCAGAGGAAGTACAATCCCTCTGACTTCCTTTTCCTGCTTTGTGGCTTTCCTCTTTCATTTCCTTGCACCTGCGAGTGTTTGTCAAAGTAAGACTTATTGTGTGTAAGCAAGAATGATTGCTCACTGATTTCGACTAAGGTGCTAACGTTGAGTTGATAGACATCATATTGTCTCCTTTTTGTACAGTATGTAATGATAGCTGCTGGTGGCAGGGAAAAACACATGTTTGTATCACATGTATCATGTTTTGTACTTTTATATATAATTCTTCATTACACAAAGAAGTAAAGTCCCCAACAATGTGATTGATTTGTCATTTGAGTGTTGATTGGATGATTAGATGATTTAATTCAGATTTTACTGTCTCTGTGGCTTTCAAATATCTTTTATTTAAGCCACTGCTAATGTCCATCACAAAGGGATTATGTTTCTAGAGAATATAAGATTATTCAATATTTATATGTTTATAAAAATAACATATTCACACAGAAAGATTACTAGCGTTAACCTCTTGAACTCTATGTTGTATTTGTAGTTGTTATTGACCTCAGCCAAGCATGCTAGATAATATTTTCTGTAGTTTTCTATAGTTTTTTGAATGTTTCATCAAAATAGGTCCCTTGCATTTCACTAGTAATACTAGTTTTAACAAAATATATTTATTTAATTTAAAATTGCATTAATGAGTTTTACTATGCAGCTAATATGAAGTTCTTTAATAAAGGGAGACCTGCACCATGTGCTAGGGAGTGGAAGATAATGGCAATAACATGTTGGAGAAGCGAGTGTGTGAGTGCATGTGCATCCGTGCTTTTGAATGCATGTCAAAAGGAGGTCTGGGATTAGTTAGTCAGTCCCTTTGTTCGAGTAGACAGGGTGGAGTGCCTCCCACACTTAGTCCAAATCAGGCACACATGCACAAAAACACATGTACGCACACATATGCACAAATGCATGGATACAAAATGTATTAATATCACGAGACACTCAGGAAGTCAGAACGGAAAGCTTTTGACAAAAAAGTCCAAGAGTCTACAGCTGGTACCAAAATGAAGTCCTTTAGTTTGGGACACTTAACTGATAGTAAATATCAGTCAGGCAAATAAAATGTTAGATTTTGTTTTGCGTAATACAGATGACTGATGTCTATGTACTGGCCAAACATAACACAGGCTATTACATTACATGTCACTTGTTAGACATTTTTATCCAAAGCGACTTATACTGAATCCCCACAGGAGCAATTTAGGGTGAAGTGTCTTGCCCAGGGACACAACGGCATGCTGACTGCAGTGGGGTTTGAACCTGTGACCCCCTGATCCAAACACCAACACACTACCCACTGCACCACACGCCTCCCTATGATCCACTATGCTGACCATTCCAGCCATCATGGTCAATAACCACTAACAAAACCAGTCACTAGATGGCAGACTAGACCATACTGTATGTACAGAAACAATCAGATATTTATAATATCATTACTCAAAATCACAGGTTTCCTGAGTCAAAAATAATTCTGACATGTTTTATATGATGAACAATATTTCAAAAGATCTAAATATATTGAATTACCAGAATAAGAGAAGTTGTATTACCTGACAGGGATTGAAATATGAGGTGCAGATTAAAGTTAGTGTCTTAGTGAGAAGTACAAAAAAAACCCGGCCTAAATGGAAAGTCTGTACAACTGCGTTTTAAATGGCTTTCCAAGACAGATGTAGGTTTGATTTAAAATCTTAAATTAAATATCTGTTATGTAAATATGAATTATTTGTAGAAAAATACAGGTTTGAGAAGATGCTTAGGCATCAACTAGAAGGCATATAGTGTGAAATATAAAACTAATGTTTGTTAAATTAGTGCAAGATATAAGAGCAACAGATGTTTTATGATGGTGTGTGTGCATAGTCAGAGCGTAGCAGGCTTGCAGAAAGGATCCAGTTGCCATGTAACCATCTCAGTCAAGGTCATTTTTGCACCTGTTATGGAAATGTATCAGTATGTGGTTCTGGTCTCCCTTCCAACCAGAAAAAAATACCTCAATGTTCAAATGGATGTATACATTCACCTATCCAATTCAGCATTTTCATCCATAATGCAAATACATGATGCTGAGTCGGACTTAAGTGTTATTGTAAGGTAATTCAGGCTGATAGGATTCATCAGCCCCCCCTCATCTTTGTAGTCCAGGCGTGGGGTTGTGCCCTGTTATGCCTTCAGCTGCCGAGGAGGTGGAGATGCTGTTGTGTTGGACGGCCTGCAGATGAGGCCCAGGACCTGGAGGGATGGGACTTCCTGCGGGGCTCACCCCTGCAGCTGGAATCAGAGACAGCTGTCAATCAGAGACACCGATCCTGTGAGGACTGTCCATTCTGTGAGCACCGTTTGTAAGCATTATGCATGCAAATTAATTACAAAAAACACGACGGCTAAGATTAAAGGAAAATATCTCTTTTATTTTAACAAATGAATACTGTACATACAGGTAAAAAGACAACAATAGAAATATACGAAAGTAACTCATGCCAATATTGCATCCATCTTTGTTCTCTGAAACTCAACATTTTAAAACATAATGGCTGCTTTCTTTTAGGCCACAAGGTGCAGTATATTTTTTCTTTCCTTTTTAGGTCACATACAGGTTAAATTATTGTCGAACATTAATTTGAACCTGTCTGGAGTGCAAGATGGGCACGCTGTTCCAAGCTAGCTTCATGCAAGGCAAAATGGAAAGATATTGCATTTCACTCCAGAGTATTTCAAATACCATCAAGTATGAGTTCATTAAATGAGCATGAAAATGGAAATGAAAAATGCATTCCTTTTAAGTGGAGCGTTAAGAGAGTGCAGTGCTTCCCCCCGATTGGCTCTCCATAGGAATAAAAGTGCATGTACCAATATTTGGAGACTGTGGGGGTTAAAAGCAGAGTTTTTACTCTTAAGTGCTGTTTAGTTGCACTCAGCTAGATACAGTTTAAGGTCGCTATCTGTTTGCTGAGGGGGGGGGCTTTGCATAAAAACACAATGTCACCATGGGGTATTCGCTTATGTGCACATACAAAGTTTCTGAATTATTCCCTCAGTGGTGGATGGAGATGATTGGTGTCAGGCATCTGGAAAAGCTGGTGAGATGTCTAGCGAGGGGGGCAGTTGTTTTACTCACTGGGATACCCCTGTGACTCTCTCTGCCGGGCGCTGACAGGACAGTCTTTGTGGGTGAGCAGAATCTCCTTTAGCTGACCCACCTCCGACCTCAGTGACGTCACCTCGTTCTGGAAACACAGAGAGAAGCAGTTAGTATCCCTGAAGTGCAGATTGTGTTAACTTGTGTGTACTTGTGTGTGTGCAGAGTGTGTCCCACCTGTAGCTGCAGGTTAGTGTGTGTCAGCTCTTCAGCTTTCTTCTCCAGCGACGACACCCACACTTTCCTCTTCTGTCGGCAGCGGGTGGCTGCAGCCCGATTTCGCTCCAGGAACTTCTGCCTGCGCTGGTCGGGGTCTTGGTCTGCCGTCCTCCTGCGGCGGTGGCTGCCTACTCCCCCTCCTCCTCCTCCTCCTCCACTTCCACTTCCACTGCTGCAGCTACTATCTGCCTGCATTGAATGCTGGGAGTGGGGTGGATGCATCTGCTGCGCAACTGGTGATAACTGCAAAAAAACAAAAAACCTTTAAAAAGTAACCCTAACATGCCGTAATGCAGAAATGTATTTAGTTTAGCATATTTTAGTTGTTCTATACAACTCGGATACAAATACAAATTCTGAATAGCAATAGTAGGTCATCACGGTTCAAACCAAAGTAAATGAATACTCCCCCAATAGTTTTCAACTGAAGCCTAACCTTATTAAACGTACCCTTTTCATAATATTGATAACATTGTCATTACATTTTAATAAAGTAAAACAAACAAACAAAAAAACGAATTTTAAATGAAGAGTTATTTCATGATAAACAGCCCATTTTGAAAGTGTTCAGCTGTATTCTAGCAAAAAAACAGATGTGAGATTGTTCTGAATGTTTCCCAAACCTCCACACAGTAGGTCCTTCATCGGCACAGTATATATACTGATGGTAATGATATAAAGTCAGGTTTCACCATCATCACTGGGCAAAGCAGTAAATATAAAGCATCGTACCTGTGAAGGAATAGACAGGGGTGGTGCAGGAGGCGAGCCCTGGTGCAGGTGGGGGGGCGGGGCTTGGTGAGCCTGCTGGTGGAGGCTGTGGGGACTTCCCATGTGCTGCGGAGGCGGAGCGTGGCATCGCTGTTGGAAAGTGATGGGCGGAGCAGGAAGCTGCGGATGATGAGGAGGATGAGGGTGGTGTTGTAGTGGTGGAGCCTGATGACGCTGTGACATCATCTCCATCATGTGATCCATGGCTGTCACAGGGTTGTTGATGCCCACCATGGCAGGGTGGTGCTGCTGGAAATGATGGCCCAGCGTCTGTTTGGATCTCTGAGAAGAGACAAAAAAAGACCAAATATATATTTAAGTATTCATGTGGTACACGCAGTGGTGGATAAGTATTTTTAAACATGTGAAAGTAGCAATACTTCATTTAAAAATACTTTAGTTAAAGTACTGCATTCAAAATCTTATTTATGTAAAATTATAAATGGATCCTTAAAATACCAAAAGTACTCGTTATGCGCCATTTTAAAATCAAATAAAGTATATATTCAATTACTGGATTTGATTTTTGATGCATTAAGGCAGAGCTCATTTGAACTACTTTGTTTAAACTGCTGCTGAATATCATTCAAAATTGTACCTAAGTACAGTACTTAAAGTACATTCCACAGCTTGAGTCATTGTAAAAAAACATTTGATGTTGCATAACACATTAAATACCAGCTGAAAATAACAATATGTATATATGTATGAGATATGATGTCAGCCTCGAATTATGTTGACCACATGTGCAATCACCCAAACCAATGCATACCTCACAAATATCACATTTCTGCTATTGAAAAGGCTGTGTGCTGTGAGTCAAGAGTTGTAGATATCATATCCTTAAGAGAGATTAACCTCAGTAATTGACACTCTCATAATAGTTTGTATATTATCACATCTTCTCATTTAAACAGCAGATTCCTTCTGATTGTATCATGGCCTCTAGGAACGTTACAGACTCTCGAATGTCTCAAAGGCTTGTGAACCTGCTATAAGAGGACACAGGAAGGACTTTTACAGCAAGTGAAATATAGTTTCTGTATCACTGAAAGTCTTTTGTCAACGAATGAAATACAACTTAAATCCATTTAGGCCTAGATGGATTTGGGGTTGAGTTCTGTTTAA